AAACTGGCAGGCTGCCACGAAAGGGTTTCCAAAAGGTGACAATAGAAGTAGCGTCTGAACCCTGCGGGCTTAAATTTGCCTATGCAGGAATCTGTACCTCGCCGGGAGACTTCCAGTGGCACCTCAAAACTGCAGGCAGTTGAAAAACATTTTTCTAAGGGAATTTCACTATTTCTCCTAGTTAAAGTTTCAAACTCTGGTTGAAAGCATAAGCCCTTTTACCGCAGGGAAAATGAAGCGAGAGCTGGCATGAACTGATGATCTCTTGGGAACAAGGAAGCCCTAAGCAGTTATTTCCTGATCAGCAAGCCTGTGGAGCCTGGGCTGCTGTGCTTGTCTGTCCTGTGTCCCCTGGCCCCTTCGTTCCTCTCTGTTCCCTGTGACACACCACATGCTCAGGCGGGGAGTGAGTTGCCCTGGGACTGGTGTGAGGCAGCAGGGCTGAGTGGTCAGGGTCTGCCTTGCCACGTCGGCAGCAGTTCTCTTTTGTCCTCCTAAGTGAGGAAGTCACTTTGGGTCTCCTACCTACCTGAATTCATTCATGTTTTATGACACTTGTAAGAATTTAGTTATTGCTGAAACTTTTGCAGTCTTCAAACTTTTTTTTTTTCTGGATGGATTTAAAAAAAAGAAGCTGGTTGGGAGGAAGAACTGAAAGGCGGCATGGTTGTAGAGTTTCCATGAGAAACTAAGGAAGATGTGACAATAATAAGTGCTGCACTGAAACACGTGCAGTAAAATGTTTGTATTTAGATGGACGTATTTGAAACTTTGTGTTAATATGAAGGTCCTGTGAGGGAAGTCTCTCTTTCAATTCCTCAAATCACCTCTCTTCTTTTGTTGCAGGCACTTTAAAAAAATTCCGAATCCCTCTCGGTACTCTTGAAGAGAATATTATACACAGCTTTATAATACTTGATATAATACTAGCTGTGCTCAAATAAATAATAAGATTAAAAGTTGGATTATGTTGACTTCCTGTACAGAAAGTGTTTGTTACTAGTTGTCCAAATTGTTTCTATTGCCTAGGGAAAAGTACATTGTGACTGATTTTTATAAATACGTTAAGTTGGTTATAAGAGAGTAACTTTCTTTTACTGGGAGTCTGTTATTGTACATTTCTTATTTTGTTTATCTGCTTAATTTCTAGGTGCTAAAAGTAAGTAACCATCCACACCAAATACCTGGAACTTTGAAAGTGTCCTAGTGCTACATAACGTGATATTGTTATGTTAATGCTACATCAGCAAATAAATTGGATACAATACACAAGATGCCAACTGTTGAAGATCCGAGTAGTGAACAAAACTTCATCACGCATTGGATGTCAGATAGTTCGCGTGCTGGAGTCTTATTAGATCCTAGTTTTACCACTTTGAAAATCAACAAAGAAAATTTGTTATCTGGACCTGAAAACATTACAGCTTTCCCTGCTGAAGTGTGTCTTTCAGACAGCTGTTCTGTAAGTGATGACTCCTTGTGTGAAGAGTCAGGCAGCTCTTGTACACTTCAGCAATATACCACTGAAACGTCTTTTCCAGCAGCAGCATATAATGTAGAAGCCTCTAAAACAGACTTTGTCTGTGGTGAAGTGGATGGTCAGAATAAATCCGATCACAGTGACCCACTCTTACAAAAGCTTGAACAGGTAAAAGTTCCAGAATTCCTTGACATACACCAATTACATTGTTTTTTTGTTCCTGCATATGATTTGTCATACCTGGAAGTAAGCTAACTCTTTGCAACGTATAGAGCACAGCAAGCTTAAAGAGCAAGTCCTAAGTAATGGTTATGTGTGCATAAAAGTTGGTGTCCTCATGATGTGCAATTATTAAGAGTCTAACTTCAGTTGTTTCCAGCTGGCACAGTTTCCAGTTTAAAATGAAATTGCATTCAGTGGCAGTGTACTTGTTCTCAAAAATCTTTTTACCTGGAAAGGTGCACACGGTTTTAGTGTTACGTTGTTTCTTCACTTGAAGCTGTGGAAATGGCGTGCTGGTCGTTACAGTGGTAGTACTTTGCTGCAGATATTCACAGCATGAAGTTGTATGTTCTTGTATCTATAGCAACACCTTCTGTTCTCACAGTAGGTGAGTACACAGTACTCCCATATACCTGGCTCTGTTTAGATGAAGAGAGATGTTACTGTTGAAAGTGATGAAGTGTCCAAGACACTGGGACAAAAGGGCCTGGAATTACAATGCTGTGATATTGTTTTATTCCAGTGCAAGCCTGTCAGTTAATCCACTGTAACTGGCTGTACGTTTGCTTGTAGCTCTTCCCAATTACTAGATATAAATTGCGTTAGCTGAAAGTGTACTTTTCAGAGGTACTTTTAATAGCTCTTGCTGTTAAGAATTAAGAACGAACTCACCTCCTTGTCCACTCTGCTGGCAGCTACCTCAGCACAGATCCCTGTGTCTGTTCATTCAAGTGGGATGTGTGTGAGTCTCTAGACTAAAATTCCACAACTGGTGCCATGAAAGTTTTGTCCACTATTTTACATGATAGGAAAATATTTATTCACTTTTTCAGTATTGTCAGCAGTATTGAACAGTGGCCAAATGAGAGATATTAGCTGATATTAATGGTATCTTAAAAAGAATTGTTAAGTCTCCTGTCTTAGAAAGTTATTGACAATCTAATATATTATATAAAAATAAATCTGATGCTTGTAGTGGTGAATGTAGTTTTGGGAGTATGAGATTTTTTTCAGTTTTGCTTTCTGAGGATATTATCAGAACAGGTAGAAGTATGATTACTTTAATAAATTAAGTGAAGGGGTTGGAGATAAGACTTAGGTGGTCTTTGGATCTTGATCATTAGCTCACAGCTTCTACTTGCATAGTGCCTTCTGTTTTCACTGGAATTTTAAGGGACTACAAGGAGAATACAAGGGGAATTTTTCTTGCCTGTTGGATGACAGGTGTGGTTCAATTGTTGATCTATGGAAGGATTTAATCAGGCCTCCTGTCTTTCCTTTGGAGGAGCTGGAACTGGCGCATGTGCATGTGCTGGAGATACAGAGATGGGCACAGAGGTCCATCACTCATTGCTGTGGTTTGGTAGTACAGAATGCCTTGCCTTCATATGGCCCTTGAGGCAGGGCCAAGGACTGCTGCTACACAAGAAAATGAAAACTGGATTACTAAATTTAATCAGTATTTTAATTCTTTTTTTTTTTTTTTTTTCCAGGCAGCTTCATGAGTATTAATTCTCTGTTCTTTTCCCCCTCTCTTGATCCTTTGTATCAGTACTGTTCACTGTGAGTGAGATCTTGGAGAAAAAACCCAACACAACCACCCACACGTTTTCTAAAGCTTTAATTATTATGAAGTATTTAACATTTTAATAAAAACACAGCATAGTGGACGTTAATGTTAGAAGAGCAGAATTTGAATGTTTTTCCCATGCAGTAGAAATGAATGTTCTGATTCCTATTGTTTGCAGATTGGTCAACTAAAGACTAGTGGAACTGTTAATTCGGCAAAATGGAAATAGCATTTGCATGTGCATACATAGACAGAACACCCCCCCCCCCCCAAATTTT